ATGATCCTTTCTGTCTACCGCAAGATTCTCCAACAGCAACCTCATCTAATCTATATTTGGGATGATTTGCTTCCACATGTGGTCAACATCATCAACACCTGGAAGGTTTCGGTTTATGGTGTGTCACCGGCAGAGTTGCTGTTTGGGTTCAAACCTAGGTTTGTCCCTGGCGATCTCTCCATCGACGAGGAACTCCGCGCGAATTGATTTCGCAGCCGCAATTCGTTCCTGCGTTTGAGCATGAGCCTAATGTCTCTGCAGTCGGTATTCGCCTTGCTAAACTAGATGAGCTCCGTGACATGGCAATGCAGATCCGCCTCCGTCGTCAACTCAAACAAGCCAAGGAAACTGCACAGGAATTTGCTGCCAAGAATCACCACATCCAGGAGCTGGCGATGAACTTCAGCTTCGAGGATGGGGTGCCAGCCGGGTTCATCTCTATAGAGGGGTTGGGGAGCCTAGAGGGGCAGGTTGGGCATGGTAGGAGGAGAGAGGAGGAGGCGGAGGAGGCGGAGGAGGATGAGGAGGAGGAGGAGAATTGGGGAGGGGCCAAAGGGCCGTATATTATTGTAGAATAGTGTAGAATAGTAAATGACACACCTATGGGCAATTACCTTTGTTTATTGTGCTGTATATTATGATTAGAAATGTGATGTGAAGTCTTACGGATAGTTAAGGATAGGTTCTTAAGGATAGGTGACAACAACACCCTCGTAGACAACCGTAGATGGCCGTAACAGAACAGAAACACCCTCAAAAGTAGACATTAGAGGCTAAGAAGTAGTATAGGACGTACGTCTAATTGATTCCAACTAAAATGTGAGGATACACCACATTCTGGGTAGTATTATCCTCTCCTTCAGGGAGTAGGACCTGTAGTCCAGCTATGACGTCCGTGACATTGCAACATAAAACTGCCCATGACTAAACATAGCTGCCCATAGATCAACACCTACATGCTTAAACGACTGGCCTTGAGGCTTATAGAAGTCACAGGGGAGACGGGTTTCTGAGAATGGGCACACTATGCTTATGATTTATGGCTAATAATGCTTCATGAATGTGATGAGTGGACTGAGGCTAGGGGAAAGAGCTTATTTGTATGACACGAGATGTAGAAGAGGCTGTTGATTTCTTCTTCCTCAATTACTTACTGTTATTCAAGTTCTTTCAACGTCTGTCATGTGTGGCAAGTTGATATGTGGAGAACTGATTTAAAAAGGGAGGAGAGAAGAGGAAGGGGGGTGCTCGAGAATATTAGGCCAATCGGTAAGGAGAAATAATGGTGTTGAAGTGTGGATTAGTGTAAGGACAGTTCGAACCGAGGCTGACCTTCAAGTCTGCAGAAGTATCCGAAGTATAATGTGAAGACTTCGATACTCGAAGCAGTAGGACAAGGTATAGTAGTTCAGGCTCCAAAGCATATACTTTATACCACAGGGGTCAAGTGGTGAGGACTAACAGGTTGGCCAAGTGGTTCGACTCGAAGTAAGGGAATGCAAAGTAAGTCGAAGCAGGAGGAATTGCAAGAAGGCCAAGTAGTATATAATTTGCTAGCTAAAGATCAATAAGAGACATGAGCAATAAGTGCTTATATAACAGTAAAAATCCCTAGTGCCAAATAAGCGAAGGCACTAATTAACTGAACCCTAGCTAAGCGAGCCCTAGTGCAGCAAGCCAATAACAAGAGAGCCTAAGCCAGTAGTCAACATTTGGGCTGATCTAGGTCAGCAAGTGAAGCGAAGTGAGCGAAGTGAGTGAAGCAGGTGAAGTGAATGACATAGTGAATAAGTACTAGAGACTAAAGCGAATCGAAGGGTCGTGACACAAATATCGAAGGAGTGTCATGACAATTAGATGTTCGGGAGTCGGAAATTCGCAGAAGCAAATTCCACAAGGTCAGAGAGTGAAGAAGGTGAGGAAAGGTCATGGAGGGTGAAGCTTGTCTCTTGAAATGAACAGATTGTGGAAGGACATGACCTTCCTCACAGCTACAACATTGCATTTACTCTTGAGATCGCACAACAACTCTAGAACTGACTGAAACTAAATCCTAAGTACGGCAAGCTGAAGTTGTTCTGTTCACCACCATATTTCGGAGTCCTCAACACACTCACTCAAGTTCATTTCAGCTTTTTCGACATGTATCAGGTCATAAGGATGGCGGAAGGTCAAGTGGATGACAACCTCACTAGTGAAATGAAGAAGCAGAGATTCAACGCACAACGAAATGTCAACTCAGAGAATCACGAGAGTGACATGGTGTTCAAGGAGTTCATGAACCTTCGATCTTTATGGGCAAAGGTTACACAGATGAACAGGGTACAACAAAATGGAAACCATATGGAGCCAAAACTGAGCGCAGGAGACAAAAGTTGACAGTGGAGGAGAAGGACAAGGAGATCGAGAGCTCAAGGCCTGTATTTGCGACAACATGCATCAGAGTCAGAAGGAAATGGAGGAACTGGTGTGTTCGTTTGAAGAGATTATTGAGACCGAAGCGGTGGAGAGTCTACGGTTGATAAACCAGAACCAGATGCTAAAGAAGCAACGGAATATGGCTGAAGGGGTTGATGAGCTTGCTTGAGTTGGTCGGCTGTTAAGTAATCATTTAGGAACTTCTGTGAGCGGGCTTTCAGAGGATTTGCGATCACGCAAAGGACGAGACAACGTCAATGATATTATGGAAGGGAGTGCAGGATTTGCTTCACGCGATGAGTTGCTGTTTTGCAGAGTTAGGGCTCTATTTTAGGGCAAAGGAATCAGAGGGCAGAGACCTAGGAGGGGGTGGGTGTACAGTGTTTGCTTAGTCACCAAAACTTAGTTTAGCGAGCGGGCATCATTATTGTAAGGATCTTCAATGAACAGGGCGGTACAAGGTCATGTTCTAATGTAAGGATCTCAATGAACAGGGCAGTACGAGGTCACGTTCTTCAATCATATACGCATTTATAGATCCTGTAGATTACAGAGACTGAACGCTGACCTTTCTCTGAAGGTCCGCGTTCCTACTATATACTACGGCTTCACGTGTTCTTTGGCCGGACGTTCCTCCATCCTGGCACTGTAGCTCACGTGTTATGACCCCGCACGTGATGCGTCGTGACAATTATCCCCCCTTTGAGGCTCAAGCCCTTTGAGCCTGGGTATTAATCGTAGTTGTAAGGAGCGCATTTGCAGAGTGTAAGATCATTCCATCTAGGGGGGAACTGTTAATAAAGACTTGGTCAAAAATATCACACTAATAGGGTGTTTTTAGTCGGTCAACCTCGACTAATGGCTCATCATTAAGCAGCATATGCAACGCTCGCTAGGGATTAAAAGGAAACAAGCTAGTGCCACGGTATGCTAACTTAATGTTCTGATGGTTGCATACATCAAGCCGTGTCTAGATGTATGCCTCTATCCATTTATACTCCTATATGCGCGCAAACCACTGTTGAATTATTTACAGTTATCGAAGTAGGCAGGGCAAATTCACCGCGTTACGCCATCCCCTGCATTATGCCATGACTTACGATACAGTTTAGTTAATAGGTTTCCTTATTCCGTTTAGTTCAGTTTTAGCTTATAAGAACTGTAGTCCTATAGTTTAAACTATATAGTTTAAGACAATGTCTCACTTTGTGTAAAGGACATAGTTACCCTTAAATATTAAAGTGTTCTCTAGGAATTGAACTTCGTTTTACAGATCAATTCATTTATAATGTCTTCTTAAGTTTCTTCTAATGAGTTATCTATTGCGAGTGAGAATCTAAATAAAGATACACTTATTTCAACAGCTTCCACCACATTAGCGCTAGCTTCTTACAAACACAAACACAATACTTCTTATAGGTCTTATGTATGGAATCATTTACCTGATTCTAAAGGTGGATGAGATACAATTTAGACTAACAATACTAGAGAATCAATATGGATGTAGTGATGTACAATTATGTGCATCTGGGTTAAGCGCATGATGCACTACACCAAATGCACATAATTAACGGCTTCCCTCATAGCTCTCATAGGAGAGAGTAGCTATGTTATACGATCGAGCGAAAGATACGCCGTCATAGAAAGCCTCCTCCTGACTACCATCAGATAGTGGAAGCAGCACTGATTACAAGACGAGTGTAGGGCACACTAAGCAAGCGACTACTTTGAATGTAAGAGCTAGGAAAGCTAGATTCGACACCATAAGGGTGTGTAAGCGGTCAACACCACCATAGCGATGGTGCGTAGGTAGCAGGTAGCAAGCATGGTCATACTGTAGATAGGATGGGCTAGGGAAGAGGGATAGGTAGAGACTTGGGTTATTAGGTACTATAAGGGCAGGGGCAATAGGGGCACTTAGGGTGAGCATTTGCCATAGTACCACTGTATAGCGTAAGGGCTGTGTTAGAACTATGTTCCTAGAAGTACGCTACATCGTGTAGTCTGTATACCACTAGGCAGTATATATATGGCTTCGCACCTATAGTTTACTTAATTAAGTCGTTAAACTCCAAATTCGTGCTTAACAGGTTTGATTGCGCTACATCCCACTAAGCCAAAAAGACTATAGTATTCTAGCTTGGCGGAATATGTGTAACATGCTATATATACCATACATACTGTAATGGTCTGCACTGTTATAATGGAGGTGTAAGCTATCCCAAAAAGCTTACAAAGAGTTTATAGGCACACAGAATATCACATAGCACCTTAAGATGCATAGTATCTATGAAGGAAAATATCAGTCTCTAGCTAGGCAAGCTACAATTTGCCATGCTTTTGAACGAGGTCAAGAAGCTTCCTACTTATGCTAGCATCTTAATTCTAATACTAACAGAGCTACATTAGACCCTAGAACGCTAGAGCGATTTGTTATTCGTTAGTGTTACGGCTACAGTAACATGATGTCATGGTTACAGGGCCAGGGCCTAGTAACGTGACGTGTGAGTCACAGTGGGAAGCGGGGTAGGCTGCCATGTGACGGGGCTAATGGATAGTTGCAGAAACTAGTGGATATTGGA